GTTCTAACTAAATAAAACGTGTCTAATTTTCATCAAACTGACGGATTATTATTAAAACCTTAACATGAAGAAATAGACTTTGAACTGACTTAAAACTCAGACATTTCAAGATTTATACGTAGTTCTAATAATGTCAGTAACTCGGCATATGTCCCATTTGTTATGACTAACGAAGCGAGACACCGGGCAGACGAATTATTTAGCCTACATGCTTGTTAAGCTGCAAAACTCTACCTTAAACGCATGCAATCATAAATGTACCTTCTAAACGCAGGCTTAAGATTGATTTTACTTCTGACAGCTATCCAATATCAATTTTAGTGTGTTGTAGGAGGAAAAAACCGACAAATATACTAAAATTAGGTTGAATGAGGATCTTAAGATTATAAGCTAGTGTGATGAATGATTTCTAGGTACAGTCTACATAGTTATTAGTATGCAGGTAAGAAAATAAAGATTGACTCAGTACACAGACAGTAGCGGTTGTTATACTAAATAACTAAACTTAAACATAAGGACTGTCTCTGTACTGAAGTGTGGGAGAGCCATGCTTCGGCACGAATGCACCGGCTCGGCCGGAGTGACACCACGGCCTGACAGAAAACCACAGTAAAACAACTCTTGCGTTATGTATCTTCGTGTGAGTGAGGTTACTGGAGGCCAAATTAACCCCCACCCTTTCCCAATCCCTGCATCCCCAACAATTCTCAAATTCCTAATCCTACAAGGTCAGTAACGCACTTGTAACGCCTTTTATATTCCAGGTGTCCATGGTCAACGCCGATCACTCAGCACCAGGTGATCCGTCTGCTCGTTTATTGGTTTATATCATAAAAAAATTAATATTTATTTTCTTACCGTGCAGACTTAAAAATATGTATCCATAAAACTCAAGGCACGTGTTAGTCGCCGAAGGGCTAGCAGAAGTATACCACCCACGAGAAATTAATAGTATGCTATAATAATTATGGTAATAAGATACCCACTCATACTTTTATGGAGTTTCTTGCGCGTCGTTTATCATATAAGAATCATTCACTCTAGGACAAACATATTGAGTTTTAGGACATGAAATAACTTCACCTTGCGTGGCAAGGGCCTTTAAATGAACTAGGTAAATAGTAAATACTAAACGTATTTAATTATTGTAGGTGTCTTTTTCAAAAGAGCCCTTAGCACTTTATATATATGGTGACTTGTTATTAGAGCATAATCTCGTAGGTAAGTAAGATATTCAAACGAAATAATTATTAATTATCTACAACTAATTTTATAGGTAGGTATTACTGTAACAATAAATAGATAGACATTTGAAGGAGCAAGTCTTTGTTTGATCCAAAAATTGTTATTCTGGGTCTGGATGTCATGTGTATGTGAACATGTATGTTTGTAAAAGCACCCACGACACAGGAGAAAATGTGTTAGCCAACGTTTTTATAAAAAAAAGAAAGAGATCAAAAGTTTATTAATCCATAAACCAAATCTAATATTACAGCTATCATTAATGTAGGTGTAAAAGCAATTGAGATCTTTTTGTGTGGTATACCTACGTAAGTACTAACAAAGTTAATCAATATTCGATATCAAACTTAATCAAATTACTGTGACCGTAAATATCTTGACGCCAACGCAAATTTCACTTAAAAATCATGCACAATAGAGCTTTTATTGTATCTTTGATGGAGTGGTAAGCATGGTTGTCAATAAAGAAATATCAGATTCGTGAGCAATATAGACTTTCAATGAACCATAGAAACATACGAACATAAACAAAAAAGTTGGCGATCGATCATCATTAGGCGATATTTGCACGCACTCGAGGCAAACCACTAAAGGGGAAAGGCCCGGTGGATAGCGAGTTTCCCACAAGATTTTGTGTATTAATTGAGATGATGACAGGGTATGAAAATCAAAAATCTAATTAGTCCGTAAGTTAGGTAATAAAATAATATTAGACACATATTTTTTTATTTTATCGTATAATAAAACAATACTTAGTTAAAACGCATCAAAGTTTAGGAGTGGGAGCTAAAAGTCATTTCTACGTATAAAATGTGCATAGAAGTGGCGTCACGTGACATTTCAAATCAATATATTGTTGAAAGTATTCGTTTCTGTAAAAAAATATAAAAATGAAAATTTCGTGATTTGAAATTATTTGCCAGATGGAGATTAAAATAAAATTTAGGCGTCTACCCCATTGATGAATGTGATTGTTAAGTGTACTACCGTAAACTTTGTCAATAGCACATGTATAAACTTACGACTTTGTCCCATATAAATAAACAGAAAAGTCAAACAATACCAAAAACCGCAAATGAACTAAAAAGTAATAACCTTAAAAATAAATAAAAAAAAGTAAAAAAATTAAAATCAATCTATATAGTGCAAGTTGACTGTTAATAAACATAAAAAAAAAAATACTTTCTATATGCATTACCAATATCTGTTTGTTTATTTGTGTGATGTAACCGATGCATGTAAATTGTACAATTCACAGCGGAAACTATGTAACTTAACGTGTACATACATGTCTACATTCAAAAATTAGATTTATCAACACGAAGTTCTAATAGATCGCAGCAATAAAAACACTTAATATTTATGGCTTTTTTGCCATATACTGTTTGTATGTATCTAGACAAAACGTGGGAGAGAAGGTCGGTCGTATATGGTACTTGGCTTTTGTTGATAAAGGTAGTTTTAATAAAAACTAGTCATTTGCAAATGTGTACTGACCGAGTATTTATGTAGGTTGTAGTGTAGTAATGATGCATAACAATTATTTATTTATTGTTAAAGATTATTTATTTATTCATTTAACTATGATACAAGTTGTGCTAATACTACAAACAGTGGTTTGAATTAGACTGTTATGTAGGAGTCAATTACTATGTTGCGTCAGTCGCGGGTCGGTGAATGCTGCTCATGAATATGAGCCCCTGGCATGGCTTGAAACTAGTCGAGTCCCTCGTCAAACAGTTATGTGAGTAAGCCGTAAATATAATAATTAATTAGTAATTCTCACAAAAGTTTTAATATAAACATGTAGGAGTCCGTGGACAATTAATATTAACATTTTAAAAAATCATGCATTTAGTATTTTTTTTTTTTAATTTTTGGCACCCATTGTAATCTAAGTTACGTTGTTTTATTCACCGATTCGAATACAACCTACCTACGTGGTAGATAAGTTGATGGATAGATAATGATGGAAATTCAGAATACAAAATAAAATCTGAAATTTTGGTAGGTACTTTCGACTCGTCCCTTGATTTAATGAAAATAATATTAAACTTGTCATCATAAAGTCTGTCAGTATTAGAGAGAATTAAATTAATGAAAATAAACTCAAAACTCAACAGTAAATTGATATTCAAACTGTATTCTTGTTGCTTTAATAAAAAAATATAATGACATTTATTTTACATTAATGAAATCACGAATACATAAGGTCATTAGTAGTGACTTATGACAATAATAAATGACAATAGGTATGTAGTGACATATACCAACTGATGCTTTGAAAAAAAAATATTAATAAAATTTTATAAAAAGCATCTGTTAAAAAATGTTTCACTTGTCTTTTTCGGCAAAGATATTGATAATTATACAAATAAAAATGAACTTAGCCGAAATGAATATTGTTCATCATTGTTACTGACATTAAATATGTCATATAAAAATGGTTAATCGACTAAAAATACCAATGACAATAAAAAAATAAACGAATGACAATTATTACACGGAGAGTCGGCTCAGTATAGTCGGTACCTACACTCGATGACATAATTACTAAAGTCAATTTAATTGAATGAACTGATTCAATGCATCTCAAGGTTGTACGGACTTGTGCAAAATAAAATTAGCACCAGCCGGAGTGACGTCATAAAGAATGCGTTCTTGAAAACTGTTTAGACGTACCTAACATTTTGTAGAGCGCAAATATTAGGCAAAGACGATGTTTATACTTATTATATGCAAAACTATACTATGCTATGAAGTTTCCTAGATCTGCATTTAGACACCTCTACCTATCTACTTAATAATAATAATGCGGTATTCAATTTTTGGAACTGTCAAAAACTACAGTTTTCTATGAATTATGTACGAGATTGTGAATTGTGACGTCACGTTTCCTTAGCGTCAAAGAGCGTACTTACTTTTAAAAAATCGCTGGAGAAATGCTAATATTAAGTTGGTCATAAAATCATTTAATGGAAGTGTGATTATTTTTTTATATTTTTTTGTATTGAACAGTCGAAATAATTATTTTATGATTAAGAAATGTACTCAATTGTGTTATACTTATAATTCGTAAACGAAATGAGGTTCTTGTCGAACCCTTCACAATGTTACAGACATTTTTTAGGTGTTAGGTATATTTTATAAAAACGCAACCTGTGTTTATTACATTATCTACCAATATGTATCAAAATCCATCGAAATGCATCTAGCCGTTCTTGCCTATTACAGTGACAAACACTCATACCACAATAACTTAAATTTGTAATGGAAGTACTTTTTTTTTAATTACTATGTATTGTAACTGGTAAACATCTCGATTTAATACCCTAAGTAAAATATTGCTTAAAATACAGACAATTTTGTTTGCAGACAAACAATAATAAACCACACGTTGTCTTGGTAATTGTTTAGTTACTTACCTAATATGAAAGAAAGGAAGAAAGAAAAATAATTTATTACTATACAATATCACTTTTATTCATTGTTGTGATTTTAATATTGAACTTGAACACAAAAAGGTGATCTCATTCGCATTCGATGCGGGTATGTCCTTAACATACTTTGCAAAATAGAAAGAGATATTATTTTTTTCTGAAAAGGCAAAACCGCTCATCACTGAAAAGGCAATTTCATCTGATGATTAGCGATCCAACACTAGGTAAAAGTGCGTTACATTATCCTATTGAAAAATGAGACAACCTAACTCCAAATACTAGATCAACTACTCACCAGTTATACCTTTTTTATTTAAAAATTCAGACCCCATGCTTAATGCTATAAAAAGTTTCAAGCAAAAAACAAAAGGCCTAATATTTTTTTGCTCATCCTAAAAACTGAAGCTGTAATTCCTTAGTTGACTACCGATAAACAAGATAATAAACAATTGGCATAACAAACCAAAGTGTGACTAATGTACTAATTACTCATAATGTTATCTTAGAAGCACTATTTCGATCCGCCATTGACCTGACTGACCTAAAGCTTCAAGACCGTTTATTTAATAATAAACATTGTGTCATAATGAGAGCTTTGTTTATAATAAGTTAGACCTATTTGTGTATTTAGGATTTGATAGAACGCGTTGAAGAAACAGATACAATGCCATCAACTGTCTTGTCTAAACTACAAACTAAGCTGAATTAGTAATAGGTATCTACTTAATGCTGAAACGCTGAGGTCAATAAGAATAAAAGTAGGTATATCATTTTTAATAGAGAACAATGAAACAATTTAAAATATTAAAAAAAAAACGAGACAAATGTTAAAGAAAAAACTATATAACTACAGTCTAACTAAAAACAGCAAAAAGTTTGCATAACAACGGCTCATGTAGCAAAAAGTATGCATCATTCAAATTAGCTGGCATCATCGTATTAGCGCATTGCTAAGTGATATTACGAGTAAAACAACCCATTAAAACAGACAATTGAATGTATGAACAATAGTATAGTATATTATAATATGGTCAACAGACTATGATTAGAAGCTAATATTTTTACTGGCTGCCTCATTGGCCGACTGGCAAGTGCCACTGCCGAGCAAGGGGTCTCGGGTTAGACAAAACATATTGGGTTTAAAAAAAAATCTCAGTAGTAGCACGGAGTCTGGAATTGTACCCATTGTACATAGCAATAGGCTCAATAGTGAAAAGTGTGTGTTACATTGTGGCATTAAGTGCCGTAATGTGCATAGCTGCCTACCCCTTCGGGGATAAAAGGCGTGATGTAACGTTATGTATTTTTATGTATGAACAATATTTTTAATGCCCTTTCTTTCCCTCCTGTCCTTTTCTTTGAGAGTCACCACTGGCCACTTTCACCAACCATTCCTAACAGATTTGTAACCCAACCTGATAAAGAGATGGTCTTTAACAGGTTAGGCAAAATATATATTGTGTTTCATTTTGAAGCTATGATTCTTTAGTTAGCTATCTAACTGTTCACCATCCAATAAGGGTGGTACCATATTATTGCTTAAAAACATTGTTACATTTATAGACTCCCTAACTACTTAGCTGTGTCTCCTAAAATGATAAGAGTGCAATGAATAACTCAACCACATTTTGCCTTATCCAGATATCAACTACAAACTCATAGTTACTTAGATAGACAGATTATACTTTCAATCGATAAGCATAAGAGATGAATATTTTTTTCAAAGGACATGATTCATTCATTAAATCCGTGAAAAAAAGAAATATGTAGATTATTACTATGTAGGTACATTTCCTAACACGAATAAAATACCTAGCGCTTCTGTCATTTATTATTCTGAAACTTATGAATTAGGTGTCTAGATACTAATTATTTCAAAATAAATAAAAAGAAACCTATTATAACATATCACAATTAAAAGACATTCGAAATAAGACAAGAACTGTCCTTAAATAAATCCAAGATTATCATAAGACTTATTTCACGACCTCGTATTCCGATATTATGTCACGTAAAGGTGTAGTACGTAGGAGGATTATTATTTATGCCTCAACAGCAGGATTTCCTTTTTTGTGTGTACTTAATCGTTTACAAGGATACAAGAATTTCCGTTGTCATTTTAGTACGAATCCTAGAAAAAAATACTAAACTCTAATACTTACTTATCTTGTTCACTCCGTTCATCATAATATTTGGCCAAAAACACACCCGTACTGTCTTTGTTCACTTGTTTTCTAAACGAAATTTTAATAAAATAAAAATGTTTGTCATTCACTTGATACACTTTCAACGGTTCATTCAAATAAATATGTAGTTTACTCGTTAAATAATTGTATTCAAAAGGTCTGGCAACATTTATTATGTCCCGTGGCCCATCATAAACCTTTATCGATCCACTTTCAAATTCTAAATCCTTCGCGTCTAACTCAATGATGTTCACATTAGGCGCATTCGCTATTATAGTAATTGTTAATTCACAATCGTAATAAGTACGGTGGGGATAAATATAAGGGTAAATATTTAGTTCATATTGCACTGGATACACTGTATAATTCAAACATTCTTCGTCCACCACTATATTTCCTTTTGTCAACGAAAATAAACAGAAAATAAAAAACGCGCGAAATATTTTTTCACTCGCCATTTTTATTTTTTTATTCACAGTTTACATTCAGCCAGGTATAGTTAGCATTTATGTTCTTAAAAATATTAAAACCTATTTTTTAATTCATAGTTCGTTTTTCGAATTTCGCGCCAAAGAGAGCGTTTTACGTGGAACACGTCTGAACGCGACGCGCGCGTAAATGCTTGTAGTAGTGTTGTTCCTCTTCATAGTCTAGGCGCCGGCTCACAACAAACCAGTATTTCTTGACCTTCCCCACCTCTTGAACTTCTCGTATCACCTGGGCTTCTGAGGGGATTTTAATATAATGTCACAGATCTTCGCTTATTGGACGTTAGGCATATTTATGTTTGTGCATATGGTTTACCTTCAAGTATGAATTCAGTACGGTTTCTTTTGAAGCATATTTTTGGACTATGATAATATTGTTTACTCTTGCTAAAATGATATGTTTGCCAAAATAATATTCTTGGAAAATGAGTTTGAGAAAAGATACTAGGTATTGTATGAGTGGGTCATAATCATAATACTTAGTTACCTACTTAATCTATATAATTTTGCATGTAGCCTTTTATTTGTCTCATACTTATCAAATTATTAACAGAACAGTGCATTATTTTTATTTTAAACCATTACATCATTATTTTATGTTTCATGCAAAACATTGTCAATTTCATTTTCTGTAATTGCTGAAATTGGAAAAAAAAATAATTTAACGCCTTTAACTTTACATTGGTCTTTGAATAGAAGACAAATTGTTGCTGCGCTTCGATTACGGTCAGGACACATTCCACTAAACCATTTCGCTCACCTCATGCGAAAATCAGACTCCCCTAATTATGAGATATGTGGCAGAATAGAAGACGTGCAGCATGTGTTGGTGGAATGTGTCCGACATACAAATAAGAGAAATACACTTCTCAACTCTATGAAACTGTCAGCAATAAAATTATAATTATGAGTTTTGTTATTGTATATCTATTAGTTTATTGCTGTTTTAATTTTTTGGTATTTGTATTTTTTTAGTTTTGTATTGTATTTTTATTTGTGTATTATATTTTATATGGGCCACAGTTGCCTGAAATAAAGAAATAAATAAATAAAATAAAAATAAAATAGACGTTGGAATGTTTAATGGTATGTTAGATAAGCCTACACCTGAAGCTGCGAAAATTATATATTCCTTTATGTTAAATAGATAAGTAGACTAAGTTATTTTGTTTAAGTAGTTAAATACATTTGTTATGTAGAAGCACGATGGGATTGATATCGTCAAAAATGTGTACAAAAATCCCTTACAATAAATGAGATTTAAAAAAAAATACATTAACCTTTTATACTTCGCAGTAGAATATGAAAAGGCTGTTTAATGCAATTTCACACATCATTAAACAATCGACCTGACATAAAGAGCAGACCAAAACGAACGCATTGTTCACTAAAATTGCTAAAGAATGTAACTCAACAGGCAATTTACCGCACAACACATTATAAAATAAATCAAATCCCATGTCCTAGTATGCCCACGCCCCAATTCATATATCAGAGCATTATGAGAGTTTTTATATTATCCGATCCGATATCGAATCGGATATCGATAGCTAATCCAAGAAACCGACCGGTTTGACCCATTTCCTGTATAACCAATGATAAAGATAGCCCGATAATCTCATTTACTGAGAGCTTCAATACACAGATACAAAATTAATTTACATAATCTGAAAAGTCGTCTAAAAAAATGTAGTAGTGTTAATTCTGTACATTGAAAATATTTAAAAAATAAAAAGTACCTACCTACTAGATAGACACCGAACCCAAACATGTGATTAAAAAAAAATATCTGTCTGTCTATCTGTCTACTTTATACTTTACTGTTACACGACACTGGGTACTTTTTATCCCAAAAAAGTATATACAAGAAAAAACAAAATTAATTGTGCGGTTCATGCCGGAATACTGAAACGTTACTCAATTTTAAGTCGTGCTCAAATATCGTGCCATCTCTGTCATTTTACAAAGAATTTGTTGAAATAGAACTATACATAAGCACGACTTAAAATTGAGTAGCGTTTCAGTATTCCACATTAATCCTTAGACATATTTACTGTACCAAACGCAAATATAAGTTTGTCGATTGTTTGGTTACCCGCAGGCTGAAGGGAACGAAATGAAATTTGGAACAGAGGTAGCTTATGGTCTGGAGTAACACATAGGCTACTTAGGATCCGACTGACATAAATCCAATATCGAATAGTGTAAAAGGCAGAATCATGTAAATATCACAAATTTTGCTTGCCCCGATATCGGATTACTTTTTTTTTTAACATTGCCCCACACTAGGATTTTCTCCTGTGCCGTGGGTGCGTTTTCAAACATACAAGTTCACATACACATGACACTCAGACCCGAAACAACAATTTGTGAATCGAACCCGCGGCACGTTGCACGGCAGCCGGTTTCGCAGCCACCGCACCAACCATGCAGTCGATATATGATATCACACATTTTGCTTGCCCCGATATCGTATCACTATTCGATATCGTATCGGATATTGTAAAAATGTTCTTACACCTAACAATAGAGTAACGGTGAACGAAGACAATTGATCTGGAAGACTGGAAGCGACCGATGTGTGGGCTGGACGCACTTAGCAACTATTCCATACAGATTAACCACCCACGTTTACTTCCATATGTTATAATAGCTGCTTTGTGTACAAAAAAAAGATAATTTTCTATGACGAATTTTATTGGTTGGATGTTTCAAAATTATTTTTGTTAAAATGTTTAAGGATCTATGAATTATGTCTATCAGTGTCTGTTAAGTAAGTAAAGCTACTCTACTTATGTGATTGGGCAAATAATTTATTTATTAAAAAAAAAAATCTTAGATTTATCTATTCCTAACAATAGAGAGTTAGAATAGAGCAACAAATTTTTTCATCAACATTTTTAAACAATGAAAATTATTAATATTTTTTTCCAAGTAAATGACTCCGAAAAACAAATAAAATTTTATTTGAAATTACTCTTCCTTATTTATAGATAGTATAACCAACACAATTTTATTAACTAAAAGAGTAGACGGGTCACTTGATGGTAAGCAACCGGCGCCTCACATGGACACCCGGTACCTACACCAGAGATGCTACAAATGCGTTACCGGCCTTTTGGGCATTAGGAATTTAAGGATTCTTAGGAATTCAGGCATAGGGGAGATTGGGGAAAAGGGGGGTGATAATTGAGCCTCCAGAAACCTCACTCACACGACGAAACACAACGCAAACGTTGTTTCACGTCGGTTTTTTGTGAGGCTGTGGTATCACTCCGGTCGAGTCGGCCCATTTGTGGTGAAGCCTGGCTTACCCACACTTAAAAACGTATTACTACACACTTATTTAATGTGTATGTGTATTTATATTTTCTACATGCTTAGTATAAAAATATTCTAGCATACGCCCATTACTATTGCTATATTTAGGTACAAATTACGTAAGGAGGTCATATTTTGAGATTTATATCTGTTAAAGATTAAATGCAATCTAATTATGGTAACAACATATAAATTGTGCCGTTAATGCGGCTCTGCTCACGTAAAATCGGTAATAAAATATAGAAAAGGTAATTTTAGGGATCTTGATGCGTCTATTTTTAAACGGTGAAGAAATAGTGTTGTTCCTCTGTTTAATTTTGATGTCGATAAATTATTGAATTAAAATTATCACTTTTATTTGTGTGTGTTAGTTTTTTTAACTAATATATATTTTTATGGTATAAGCCGGTAAACGAGCAGACGGATCACCTGATGGTAAGCAATCGGCGTCGCCCATGGACACCTGGAACACCAGAGGCGTTACAAGTGCGTTACCGGCCTTTTGGGGAATTAGGAGTTTGAGGATCGTTTGGCATTCAGGAATTGGGGAGATTGGGCAAGGGGAGGGTAATTGGGCCTCCGGTAACCTCACTCACACGACGAAACACAACGCAAGCGGTTTTCTGTGAGGCCGTGGTATCACTCCGGTCGAGCCGGCCCATTCGTGCCGAAGCATGGCTCTCCCACACATTAAAATGTATTGTTGATCGCAAGTTAGGTGTAGATTGCCTAATCTATTTAAACTGCATATATTGTACTACATCTATTATATTATCATATGTATAGTTAACTACACTATAATTTATCTCTGTTGCCTATTTTAAGGAAAACTCAGTGTAAATGAAACAGTGATAAACTTCAAATTGCATTGTAATAATAGAATAAACAACAATTTCATTATTTAACAACTTCATTACTTTATAATATGTACATTATTTTACAATTGTACGATTTATCTTTCATTTACGTATACATTACAGTGGAGAAGAATCTCTTCTTATTACTTAAAACTAAGTGTATAATTAATATATTAAAATAACGTAAATATTAATATAGAAAATCTTACTCAATATACTGAACATTTTGGTGCTTCCTGCCATCGAATCACTCATAAATACTATAAACAATAGATACCAACATATTAACAAACAATGACTATTTCATTACGTTACCATTACGTAGTACCTAATTTCTGTAATAATTTATATTTTAATTTACATCCAGAATTAAACATAAAAATTCAAATTTCATAAAAATACACAATAAAAAGAATACAAGTACATATTTAAAAATTATAACAAATTATTATCACAATAATTACAACTCTTTAAAAATGAGTACGGCCAGCCCTAATATCATTACAATGACAGATGGGGCCGCCATGATGGAATTACTTCTGATCACTTTCAATATGTCTGCTTTGTGGCTGTTTGCCCAAGCTGTGGCGGCTCTTGCCTGCACCAGAGCATTACGGCCAGAGGTCTTCGTGGCTTCTGTGCAGACGGTGCACTCAGACAGGAAGGTTTCGAACTGGACAGAAATAGAAACAATCGTTACTTTAAGTAAGTAGGCACATAATAATACAATAATAAGTAGGTAGGCACATTTTTGATATCGGCTATATTGAATTTCTGTCAAAAACCTATTGATTACGGCCATTAGCATCGGCTAATGGCTAAAGGTACGTAGTGACCGACTACGTATCCTCATAATACCACACAAGCATATCATTTTTTTTTAGGGCGGGATATCATCGGATGACTGCTCCCGCCTGGTTGAGGCGGGAGGGAGTGTCAGACTTTTACTGACTAAAAACCACCCCGTTCCTTCTCCTGCACTTCGAGCCGGAGCCCCGGCAACCCGTTAGGTTCTC